TCAACGTGCCTGCAATGCTAATGCTAGCGTCGTATTGCCGGTGCGGCTATTTTGTTGGTGCTGCACATACACTCTCAGTGAGTTTGAGAATCTTTCTCGCACATGTTTGTGCCGTTGCTTTGCTCAGGGACTCGAGGGGGAAGAGAGTCGTAATGTGAGGCTTCATTCAAATCTCGCTAGGTAGCTTTAACAATGCAAACTCCCTCGTCAACCACCATTTCACCGGTTCAATCAAGTCCGAGTCTTTTTTTACACCAGTATCTGTACTTTCACTTGAACATAGAGTTTGACGACATTAGTCACCGCTGATTTTTGCTCGTCTCCTATTCTGTCATACGCGTTGCGCATAGATTTTTGTGAGCACAATTTACGACTGCGCTCTAGCATGGCTATCTGTACTTTCACTTGAACATAGAGTTTGACGACGTTAGTCACTGCTGATTTTCGCTCGCTCCTATTCTGTCATGCGCGTTGCGCATAGATTTTTGCGAGCACAATTTACGACTGCGCTCTTGCATGGCTACAAATCAGCCTGTTATGAGCATGACGCCTGTGAGGGACAACAAAAGACGCCTTTGTTTCTCCTCTGTCCTACCTCCTCCTTTCTTTGAACATGCACCCACAGAAGTGATGGATAGCAGGTGTCCCCCCCCCCTTACCTTCTTCCCCCCCCCCCGGCAGCACCGGTGCCACTGATCTGCAGATTGCACAGCACTGATTAATTCCCGCATGGCAAGCGGTGTTTCATGTCACCTGGACACTACTGAAAGTATCTCGTTTCCCCCTGCGCCGCCCCCAGGTACCCAGGGAAGTTAACGGCGGAGGGGGGGTAACGGAGCGGTCTTTGTAGACTGCTGAGAAGTTTAAAAATATGTTATTTAATCCAGAAATAGAGGTGCAATAACCACACTATATTCAGGAAATGCTCTCAAGTGTCTTCATGATCTCCGCACGCATGGCGCAAGTTATAAAGGCATCTTATCCAACAGTGACATTAATGCAGTTTGGTTAAAATAATGTCAAATAATTGTGATGACAATGATCGCGAGTTATTCGGACAAAAATATTCGGACAGAGGCGTGAAAATGGAAGAAAGCATCGGGACGTGTGTTTGACTGTTGGATGCTTTAAGTGATCCCAAAAAAGTTTTGGCAAGCTGTAAAATGAAGAACTGTAGAAAAATCAGGCGCCCCATTGAGATGTGACCGTTTTTCAACCCCAAAAACAACTAGCCCACCCCCTGGGTGTTTTTCATACAGCGTGGCAAAAGAATTTTGCCCTCGTGGTGTTTCGTGGGACCTCAGCAGCAGGTATGGGAGTGGCGTGTTAGCTCGATAGCACCAGAAGCCGCAACGCGTCAAGTGTAGAGGTAAAAGTTAGGGTGGGGGAGGCCATATAGCCCATACCGTATTTGTTTTTTTTCGTTTCCCTCCGCAGATAAGATCATCTGCAGTTTAAAGGGCTCGGCACACACGCCAGTCTCCACTGGGACTATATGGAAGTGTACACAGCAAACCAGGCAACTCCCACAATGCCTCATAAATGTTAAATAGAGAAAGTACACGGAAATAAACCAGATGGGGTAACGCATTTTAAAATAAGCACCGAAATGCTCTGCAGGACGTCGCTGTTTTCAGTATCATGCGCCAATCTGCAAAAAATTGCATATTTGAAGGGATGCAAAAGCGTTCCTGCCTACCAGCCATAAAACTCTTGTTGTCCAAATGGGTGTGAGCAACTGTTTGAAACTGTGTCAACACCCTAAGCTCCCGCACCGAAACTAGTCAGGCGACGTTATCGTTGCCATTTGCGCTGGCTCGAAAAGAAAAAAAAATTCATTTTCCCCAGCGAAGTTATAGAGGAGCAAATAGCATCCACCTATAGTCCCCCCCCCCCCCCACGTGAGGTACAGATAAGGTGTGGTGAAGTCATGTTAATAGCAAAGTAACATTCCCTCCAGCTTATCGGTGCTCAATCAGCTCCAGCCTGCTTCCAGAAATAGACAGGCTGAGAGCGAAAGGCAGGCGAAATGAAAAGCCATTAAGCGCTTTTTTTTTTTTTTTTTTGCTGAGGAGGGTAACATTACCATAAAGTCTCGTCCGCTGGCACCCACCACCAGAGCCATCGAGCTGCGCCGTCTTTTTATGGGAGGCGAAAGGGGGCAGAGTGGCAGCCTGGCACGAGATGAGCCGCGGTAGCGCCGCCGGACGCACCTCGCCCGTCCTATTTGCTATTCTTAGTACGAATAGTGCTTTGTTTGGATTTCTGTCATCGATATCGGCCTGCGAAAATGCAGGAAGTTAAAACCGGTGTCATTCCCAAAAGCGTCAGCTACGTCGATTTGAAGTCGATACGGTACATCTCGCTTTTTTCTTTTCGCCCCGTAGGCAAAGGTTTCAGAAGGGCCCCAGCGCGCAATCAGTCAGGTTGAGCGACGACGACGGTTGTCTCAAATGATTTAAAGGTCAGAAAGAACACCCTTGTTAAAATTCAACGTAGAGCTGTTTTTTGGTCATTATTATTCTTGTAATGTGAACGAATCGGTTACCTCCGATTCGGGTTACTCCACCGGCCTGTTGTCGCCAGAATTTGGCAGCATTTCATAAGACAAGTTCGAGATTCCCACAAAGACGTTTCCTTTATCCGTTTATGACTGCTTTGGTAAATAATACACCCGGAATTCTTAAACCATCAATTTCGTTGACATCGTGGGCAAATATCTTGTGTTTGTTACAAAATCAAGCTTTGGCGACACGTAGCATTTTCTGTTGGGGTTCTTGACTATTTTTTTTTTCTGTGTTCGATTTTCAACTTAAAGTCGCCTGAGAATATTACAGTGAGATGTCATAGAGGACATGACCGGCTTATTAAATGGAGAGTAATGTATTTTCGCGCGTCTCGCGCTCGTGTAAAGGAAAATTTAAAGTCATTACATAACGCCGCCCGCCTCACGTACGCGCTGCAAGTCGCTATCTTTGAGCAAAGGACACGACCTCCGAAGTCAATAACCGTAATCGGGTTACACTCGTTCGATAACATGATATATAAATCATATACTTGTCATATGAAAGCTTGCGAGACATCAAGCAAAGGCCTTCGGCTCGATGGATGACGTACCGTAAAAAGTAAAAAAAAAAAAACGAGTGCGAAAAGCAGCCCTGAACCATTTCAGGCATTTTGAGGACGACCTTCCCCTGAGACATTCACCCCGATGATGATAAACAAACACTCTCGTACCACCACGCTCTGTTCTGCACACAGTATCAGCACATAAACACACGGTGAACTTTACAGGGCACTATTAGCCGCCCCCCTGCCCCCCCTTACACACCCACACACACAGCCCCACCCCCACCCCACAAGAGTATCAGGGAACACGCAGACAGTCAAGTGACGATGAGGCGGCCCCCAGAGGGCTCATGATACACCACGAGGGATATTATTTTAGTCTCGGACATTTCAAGATACGCAGCAGCAGCACAAACTCGATGCCGAAACGCTCTCAAATTTTTGATTTTAAATTCCTGGCAGTGTTTCATTGAGTGCAAAAATAAAAAACAATGACTTTCTTGAACAACTTCTCCTCAAACCACTGAACCCTGTAGAGCCAGTTATCCATTGACAAGCCGCCCCTGTTCGACAACACTGGCTGAATTGTAACGAGGGTCTTGTGAAGAACATTTGAATTCTATTTTCCCACTTTGGCGTGATGCATTTCATTAGTTTTAATATGGGGCTGTGCCGCTAATCTGCGGGGAGGGGGGAGTGATGCCTCTTGGTTTGAGGTGCCGCCAAGGATTCGGTTGAGGATCTACTCTTGTGGATTCAGGAAGTTACCCAAGCCGCTTTTCTGCCAACCTCGAAATGAAAACTAGAAAGGGCAGACCTCCCCCAAGGCAAACCATCCATTTTCTGTGACACTTAGTCTCACCGGGGTCACGGGAGGACATGCAAAGTCCAGACAGGAAGGCCGGAGCTCCAATTCCAACCCCTCAACCTCAGAAGTGCAAATTCCCCGCCAAGGCAAACAGTCCTTGTTTTTAATCAACATTCAAATGTTTACTGGGTGTGCATTGTGAACTTAAAGGGGAAGTCAAGGTAATTTTTTTTCTTTACAGTAATGATGTTGCCTCCGCTAGTCTAAACACGGCACTCTGATTAATATTGCGTGTGCGTAATATGAATTAACAGGCAACATCCACCTGTTTGATCCATAGGAGGGTGCGGCCATTTTGCCACTTGCTGTTGACGGAAAATGACATCACAGTTGCTCAGGCAACGACCAATCACGACTCACCTGTTTTCTGGGTTTGGTCATGAAACGTTTGCAAGCCGAGCCTTTCGGCACTTTGATCTCATTTTTAGGTAACAGCAAGTGGCAGTACAAATCAAAATGGCCGCCCCCTGACATGGCTAAAAAAGGGGTAGATTTTGCTGCTTAATTCATATTTCACAAACACAGGATTAATCAGAATGCCGTGTTTAGACGAGTAGGGCCGCATAGTTCATTTTGTACAAAAAATTTTGGACTTGACTTCCCCTCTATGGAAAACCTTTATCATTTCCCAGCGTAAACCTCACCAATGATTGATGGGCTCCTCCTTAGCCCAAACTTGAATTGAGTTTAATGTAAAGTAGTTGGAACATGTTTTGTGTATTTTGGCCAAGTAACAAATCTAAACGGGCAGCGGGCATCACACTGTGAAGCTTTCCGTCTTCATGTCTGGGTTTGCTTGGTATCCGCTGTTGCACAAGGCAGCAGTTTCAGGAGGTTATGACATAACGCGCCCGGAGCGACGTGACATGACCTGAAGTGACGCTTTGTGAGGTCCTCATCAACAGAATACGAAATGTGTATGGATGAGAACATTTATGAATTTCGCCTCACATTAAAACTGCAATCCATTTCATCATTATCTGGGTGAACTAAAATGTTGGAAGCGTGACTTTGTTCAGAACGCAACTTCAACATCCCCACAAAGACCCAAGTCAACAAGCCGTTATTTTCAAGCCTTTTAATACAAACTTAACAAACTATCAGTCCCTGTTAACATGTAAGACACTGACTCCGAATACTTTGTTATACCGTTTCGTTTTATCAAGTATTGCACAATGTTGGTACAAAATTAATATACGATTACATTTTGTCCATAGTATAGCAAAAATCTTTTTGACTTTAAAACAGAAAATACAACTCTATGTTCCGCCCACCCACCCCGCCCCGAAAAAAAAAAAGCAAATATTCTTTAAATCCCACCACTACGGAATATTCTGCACACAGTCTTTAGAAGACTCAATGTCTTTTTTTTTTTTTTTTATAAGATGGATTCATTTCGTTATCATTTCAATAAAAAAAAAAAAAAAACGAAAAGAAAAAGTTGCTGCAGCCATCACAGATCACTGGAGTAGTAAAAAGATATAAATGCAATACCGTGTCGTAGAAACAATAGATACTCTGATATTTTACAAACTCTGTACTAAATTAAATTATACAATTAGAAAAAAGACCAGAAAATCCCACTTAGCTTTGCCAATATTTTTGAAAGATTGGCAATGTCCAGTTGTGTCAAAATACTGAAAGAGGCCATGACTTGTGGTGGTGGTGGTGATGTTTTTTTTTTTTCTCTTTTTCATTTGAATATAGCTTAAACAGTAACATAAAAAAATATTTTGTGCTTGGTTGGCAAATGAAATAACAATAATTTTTACAAGTTGAAGTTTGGATCACCAAGCTTGGACATCTCGTACAACAAGCGTCACCACGGAGGGTAAAAAGAAAAGTTGTAACTCAAGGGGGCAAAGTAGTTCACCCTCGGGCTCGTATTCTTAAGACTTGTGACTGAGATCTTATAGCTGACGTCACTTTTTCCTTTTGAACCTTGACATTCTGTTTTTTTTTTCTTTTTCTTTTTTTTTTCCTCCCCTAAAATGTGCATTTGAGTTTGAAACCTCCTTCTACCACCACCACGAACGGTCACATTATCTGGTCGTTTGCTGTGTGAAGTACTCGCTCGGTGTACTAGTTGGCCATGACTGGCTGGAATTGCTGGTTAGAATACTGCATGTTGCTCAAGCTGAAATTCAAGCCATCCATCAGGGACTTGTCGTTAAGGCCGCCGTAGGCCGCAAACACGTCGAAGGCGTTGCTGTACGGAAGCGGGCCCAGACCCAGCGAGCTGCCGTCCCCCGGGAAGAGGGCGCTCTGGCTGCTCAGGCCCTGCAGGCTGGGGAACACAAACTCCTTGGCGTTGGGGGACAGCGCCGAGGGCTTGGCCTGCTGCTGCTGCGTTCCCAGGCCGAGCCCGTAGAGAGAGTGCATGGAGGTGGAGATGGCTTTCTGCTTCAGGAGAGTGTTCACATTCAGTCCCAGGTTGGTGGGAGAGGTGCGCGCTGCCTTGCTGGTGGCGTTGGTGCCGTTGCTGTTGTTGTTGTTGTTGCGCCCGCTGCTCTTCATCTTCGTGGAGCCGAACTTGGTGGCGGCGAAGGTGGCGGTGGTGAAGGTCAGAGGCTGGGTGGAGCGGGGCATGAACGTGGGGCTGACTGCGGCCGAGTGGCCGAAAGGAGGGGAGGGCGAGCTGGAGCCCGGGGAGGCGCCGCCGCCCAGGGGCTCGCTGATGGGCATGAAGACCTGCGCGTCCGGATTGAAACTGTTCTTGATCTCCTTGTCCAGATCGAGCCCTCCGCTGCTCGCCGCGCTGTCGTTGCTGTCATCAACATAGAGCACTTTGACGGGGCCCTTCTCCCCAATCTGGTAGGACACCTCGTAGGGGTCAATCCACACGCTGAGGTCCTGGGGGAGGTTGTTGCGGACATCGTTGATGTCCAGTCCGCTCTCTTTGGCTGCCTTCTCCACCACAGGGTCCACCTTCTCCCCCACGTGGATGCACCTGAAGCCCGAGCCCTTGTATGGCTTGTCCGGGTACCAATGTCCCTCGTATTTCTGCTTCAGTTGCCGCTCCAGCTCCTCGCCGAAGATGTTGACCCGCCGTCTGGGCAGCTTGTTGTACAGGTACGAGATGATGAAATTGAGAGCTACTTGGATTTCAAGCTGCATAGCTGACTGCTGACGTTTACCAGATGACCGGAGAACGGGTGTGCGTAAAAATGGTTGGTCTGCTTAGTTTAGCCGTGGTTGACAACAAGGGTGCTCTTCAAGTAGAATGGCCGAAAGGACCGAAACGTAGATCAGTCGTGCTCTGGGTGGGGGGTAAAAGTATGGTACTTGAGATGAGCTTTCTTTCCACAGTGTGAAACGTTCTGGAAAGGAAACACAGAAAGACAAACAGCACTGTTAGTCAGTTAAAAAAAAAAAAAAAAAAAAACATGTATCTGCTTGAAACATTCCCTGCCTGTGGACAACTATTCGCCAGTTGTAAACATAGCAACAGAAGGTTATGAAATTTGAATGCATTTGAAGATCATTTCCTTTCTAAATGATCACTTTGAATGTTGATCTGTTTTCGATGTCTAAAAGTAAGATCTTACTACGTTAGACTACTCATAAACGAGAATCCCGTTACATAATCTAGCCCCCATAAAAAAAGCAGGAGATGGCATTGACTGAAAACACACTCAATAACGTCCGCTGAACAAAGTAATTTGACCATCGAGTGACTGTGCTGCTGTGTGAAACACCCAAAACAATGGCTACACCCATTTATCTACACAACAAAAAGCAAACAACTTTTATATCATAAATAGTGTCTTTAATCTAAACGTGCAAGCACACGAATGTGTCTTCGTATATTAATTGTCTAAAAAGGCTTGGTCGATGAAGGTCCGTACGATTGACCTTTTTGTTGTTTTACCCAAAAGTTAATCTACTTGCTTTTTGGTGAGGGTGGTGGTGGGGGGAGGAAAAAAAAACGCTGTCAGTGAACTAGCTCCCTCTGTGGTAAATGTACAGCAAAGTATTGCGAAATAACACATTTGTACCCTTATCAGCTTGGCAAAGTTCAAGCAATACGCTTACTAAAGCGGAGAGCCGCTGGCTTCCATACATAATTCACGAGCTGACACCACTGGGATGAAAAGAGAGAAAAATCGAGTCGACAGACTACAATTTCGACTCACCAACGCGTCATTAGAAAGCTATCACAAAGAAAGACATCATTTCGGAGAAAGAAAAAGGAGCCGCAACATCTAACCCCACACCCATACATACGAACCTTAACTTTCGTAGACTGACGCAGCAAATCAGCTTAGTAAGAGTTAGCAGAGCTTTCAGTACGTCAAGACAAAATAAAAGGCACAAGAGCGAACGTGTCACATTTCCAAAAGGGCTGAAAATACTCACTTAAAAAAAATTTACAAGGATTCTCAGTAGTTGTGAAGTACTGTTTGTGCAAATAGTGGGAAAAAAGTATAATTTCTTCACGTATATTAAGAGTTACAAAAACGGGTATTCCAGTAGATGAAAAAAATGTCTGAGGATTGCCGATTGCTTGAGTTTCTGGATTTGAAGATGAATTCGAGTGTTTTTCAGCAGGCTAGGCGGAGTAGCTCCCTCCTTCTCGGGAGTTCTGCGACTTCGACTCCTTCTGGCCGACGACCGCCCTTATTTATAGATTTTCTCCGCCATGGGCACGAGGTAGGCGGTGATGCGGTGACAGAGGTCAAAACAATATGGGTGGCTTCGATTGGCTGGAAATGCAAGCCCCTCCCTTAGAGTATCGCCCGTATCCGATCCTCATTGGTCGTTGAGCGCTATCACTCTTTTGAGACATATGATTCCGCGAAATGGGAGGGACGCCTATGACGAGTGCTTACGTCAGAGATAAGGCAGGGCTGCTGACAGCAAATGGTTTAAAGACCGAAGCTATAATGACAAATGAGGTGTATTACCACTATATATTATATTATAAGAACACACAAATAAGGAGCGTGGGGTACTGTTATGGCCTTTTTTAAATCCTCAAAGGGACAGTAACCTCTTTCCTCTTCATCCCACGATGCCACAGTGGATTGTGAAGGGATTGTGCTTGAAAGGAGATTCCCTGCCTGTGGAACAATCAGCCCAAAGCGAGCAGCAGCAGTGTGGGTGGGTGGGTGTTGTTTGAACGCTATGTGGAAAACACAGCCCTGATTGGTACAAAACGGGGCAGGATCCCTACGGTGAGTGGCGAGCTCGTATCCAAGGTGCTGATGTAGGCTGCTGACGTCAGGGCTGGGGTCCACGCACGCCGCTGTTGCCAAATTTAAAGAGCACGAATACACACAGGGAAGCCTCCTATACTGTACACTATGTACTGTATACACAAACATACATACATACTTATATAGATAGATAGTAGATAGATACACACACACACACACACACACACACGACGTGAGTCATCGTTTCACAATGCCAGGCACTTATTTACGTCACTTCAGTGAACTATTGCTGTAAAATAATTCAATTTTTACATGACAATATGTGAGCCTTGTGAACTTTACTTTTTTGGGGATTATTTTAATTTTTAATTTAAAAAAAGATGCCGTCTCTCAAATGTTGTCATGTGAAATTGGAAACACATAAGTTATAGTTTTGATCTTTATTGCTTAATCAAGTACAGTTTAAATCAAAAGCGCCTTCTGTTAAATTATTTTGATAGAAAAGTCTCACGGGTATGAGGTTTTGGGTTTCATTCTCATCTCAACATGGTGCATGATTGTTTTGTCTATTTGCACTTTGCTAATAACGACAATAAGTACGAAAGAAAATTATTGTTGTGTGCCATATTAATCAACTGGAAGTGCAGTATTTAGTCAAATATGCACACCATAGGCGTCAATGAAATTGTGGTCTTGTTGACACTCTTCTGGTGCCGTGAAGGCGCCTGCATTTGTTGCTTTGAACCTTGACCCACACTCAGGGTTGGATTAATGTACAGGCGTGCACGAGCTGAAGCCTGGGGCCCACTCGCGCTGCAGGGCCTCCGTTTGGCCGTTGAAAACAACATATGTACTGTATATTGGCTGGGGGAAAAAGACTCAATGGCCCATGAAGCTGATTCGATAGAGTTGGAAAGTTAATTTCGTCAATTACAATCATTAAGTAGGCAATTTTTAGGTGGCCGCCTACATACAAGATATCCTTGTGGTCTTGATTGTTATTACTTTATTACTAGTACAGACCAATAATGAGACTGTTCCTTGTGGGACCGAAATTGGTACCTACCGTAACCCTGTTTCTTCTTTCCCACAAATGTGTATGGAAGACATCATTGGAACTTTAATGCAAAACATGTTTTGAACAAGCTCCTTTCTGATCTATTTCTTCGGCATTCCTCTTCCTAATTTGTCATAGCCTGCAAAATATATATTTTTTGGTGGCCGCTGTTGTGTCAGCTCATCGATGTACAGGGTGGACTTTCAGACATTCTTCAAGCACTTAGATTTGTCGAGCACAGTCATGTGTTAGTTGTAAAGCTGCAAATATGTGCGAAAAGTCTTCCATGAAAGCGCAACGGGGAGCACAGATGATAGATCAGGCAGTAGGCGAGCACAGAGCGAGAGATTAGAAGGTTTGACGAAGCCCCGTGCATTTAGATTCGAGTGGAAGTTAGCACCCATGTGGCTCTGCAGCTTGTTTTGACTGTAAACAGCTCAGTCGAACTAATATATGGAGTGCCCTTCCTCGAGGGCTAAAGTCATAGCGACCACTTTACATTCAGTGTGGGATTCTTGTGATTTTTTTGAAGCACTACAGTATACAATGTGAGCGTATGCATGCCTGTGGTATTTCCAGTTATAAAACACAGACATCACCTGACAGAGAAAAAGGTCAGCCGCCATAACGAGGCATGCTAAGACTACTATATTGTTTTCAGTTGAAATCCCCAAACGTGTCTTTTTGTCCAGTGCCATTTCTGTCCCTTGTTCTAACCAAGGAGTGGAAACCACTTCACAACGCACAGATGGGAGATTACTGTGTTCTTTTTCTTTAAATAAAATAATGGCTATATTTTTAAATATACATTTGGTATGATGTCGTCGAAAGCTAATATTACATAAGCAGGGCGTTTTGCACTGAACGCGGTGGCTGTACTTTGACAAACGCGCAGCCGCCACTTAGCAGGCCGAGAAAACTGTGAGCTGCCGAGAACAAAATGAACGCGAGCTGATTGACAGTGTGTTTTTCAAACACTATTTAAAGACTTGTTTGTCTGCGCGGCGTTATCAAGCAAACAGACGAGGAGCAGCTGACACACGGGCAGATTCTCACACGCCGCCCCGCCCCGCCTCTCCCCATCCCTTCCTTCCAATCCGCTCTTTGCGCCGCCTCGCCCTCCCTCTCGCAGCTCAGACGGAGAGCCTTTGACGTCACGGCGTGTTATTACTTAACACAAGTCAGCACAGCGCCCCGGGCTCCGCGTAATACGCAGATGCCTGGCTTTCCCTTTGAAGAATAAATGAAGTAGAGGCCGGAATGAGGAAAGGGAGAGGGAATGCTGTTAGTCTGTGACAGTCGCTCGACTGGAACTTCGTTTTTGCCACTGTGACGTAAACGCTCAAGCATTTACACTGAAGTGAGAAGCATATACTGTTACTAAAATTAGAATATGACGGAAGTTTTTTCTTTTTTTGTATTTGACGAATACTGGTGGACAATCTAAACGGAATGAAAGTACATTCAACGGATTACACCGTTTAAGCACTTAAAGCATGTTGACATCACAGGGCAATGTTTCCCAACTTTTATCGAGCTAAGGCGCATATTTTACAGTGGAAAATGATACTAACTAAACATTGGCTACAGAGGTTAATTGTATCTTCTGCCATCTAGTGGAAGGACATAATTTCTCTCCCTGTCACTGTATGTCGCAGGCACGGATAGGTGAACAAAGATAAATCACTTTGAGTGAATAAAGAATAACTTTGGGAGCAATTGGATAATTTTCAGAAGCACACCCAATGATCGCTTGTTCCACAAACTTCCCCGCCTCCCATAAAACGTAAATTTCATATGTTCTAGTAGGCTTTCCTTGACGATTTTTTTAACTTCCTAGCAGCAGCGTATAGTTTTTTTGCTAACACTGACAGCGATTTCGAATTGTTCAAAATCCCCTCTACCTTGTCTAAGCAGTTCCAGCTGAAGAAAAACATCCCCGTCGTGTGATGCTACTACAGCCATGCTTCACTGTAGTGTGGTGTTCTGTTAGCGTTGAGCGGGATTGTTTTGTGTAAAAAAGTGTACCCTTTGGAATCATGGCCAAAAAGTTAAACCTCGGTATCATTTTCCCAAATGCGTTTGTGGTATTTTGTCATGGTCCAATGACACCAGCTGCATCCATACAACATGAAACTCCCACACTCACGCAAAGAGAATTTGTTTGGGCTAGCGGGATGAAGTTATTTTTCTCAACTGCCGCATGAGAATGCGCTCATCTTCATCACCTCTTGAGGCTGGGAAATAATTCATCCAATTGGAGACCTCTTGGCGAGTATCCATTGATCCACCTGATTGGAAGGGGAAAAAATGAAAGTAGAAATGTAGACATGTAAAATGAAAAAAACAATTAATCCCAAATGTGCATTGTGGCTCTTACTGTAAAAATACGATGGATACGCATATGCTACGGGTACTACAAAAACAGCCAACAAAAAAAAAAAAAGCCCACATGAATGAGCAGGACAAGTGGGCTCCATGCTGATATCCCGCAGCACTCTTTGTTCCCATCCGTGGGCAAGTCACATGAGCGCTTCGTTCTACATTTGGCTTGATTGTGTTGCTCCCCCCATTAGCCCCAGTCCAATCCGCTACGTGTGACCATGATTTATAAAAGACCAAAGTGGCACAGAGCTTGTCAATTGCAGAGCCGCGTATGGAGACACACACTCACACGCACTCACCTACACCCACCCACCCACACACACACACACAAACCTTCTCCGCCACTGGCTTCTTTGCACATTAACTGTCTCCAGTGATAAAACGCCTTCTCCTGCGCCTCAAGGACATAGAAGAGAATCAATTTGGTAATGAGACATCGATGGTAGGCGTAAATACGAGATACATTTGATGATCTGCGCATGACAATGACTGGACCCATCACGAGGCTGAAGAATTTACATTTGTCATTCCATCATAAGAACAGCAAGGCTCATCATTCATATGGTTTAAATAGAAGCGTAATTAGTCCTACACCGAAGGTTTGCCACCTAAATAGTAAACAGGTCCAAGGCTTTGCAAGAGCACACCGGCTCATCAATTACTCTCTGTAGTTTACTGAAGCTCATGCAGCACAGGGTGGCAAATGAAGCCGAACAAAAAGAATTGCTGCTTTATATCAATTCATTTTTTATGGCCATCTAAAAAAAAAAAAAATCAGTATAATATAAAAAAATAGCAGCTTTCTCTTCTAATATGGCAGCTTTTCTGTATCATCGATGTATTCTTTGCCCTGTGAAATTATGGTTTTGTTCTTGTCAGATTTACATTTGTACTTGGAAAAAAATGTTTTCTTGCAATATTACATGAATTATTTTCACAACTACCATTTTGTTGTTATTGTTGCAAAGGAGCAAAATTCAAAGCAGTCCTCTACTTGTGAATGAGCCCCCAAG